ACAGTTGCAAAAATAATATGAAGGTAGTTAGTGCCACCTATATCAATGAAATGGCTAAGATGGATAACTTTATATTATGCGTTGAAGTTTAACCCCCTATGCAACAAAGAGGCCAGACTCTAAGAGGTGATTAGATCATGTTCTAATAGATTACTATCGCATGATGGAGATGTCTTGTTGTCTTCAAAGTGTTGTTTTTGTTTTTGTTTTTTCAAGACAGGGTGTCTCTGTGTACCTTTGTAGACCAGGCTGGCCTCGAACTCACAGAAATCCACCTGCCTCTGTCTCCCAAGTGCTGGGATTAAAGGCGTGTGCCACCACCACCTGGCTCAAAGTGGGTTTGTTATTTAAGTGAATCTGGTCTGTCACTCACTCATTCTTTTGCTGTGGTGATAGTACAGCAAGAAGGTCCCCACATGGGGCTGGAGAAATGGCTCAGGGTTAAGCTGGCTGCTCTTTCAAAGAACCTGAGTTCAATTCCCAGCACCCACATGATGGCTCACAAGGGTTTGTACCTCTAGTTTCTGGGGGTCTGATACCCTCTTCAGTGGATAGCAGCCTCATAAAGTCCAGGCTGACTTCAGACTTTGTGTAACTGAATTTTTGAGCCTCCTACCTTCATCTCCCGAGTACTCATGACAGGTATGAACCATTAGCCCAGTTTATATAGTGTTAGGGATCTAACCAGGGATTTCCCATACACCCTCATACAGCAGGCTCTCTACCAACTGAGCTGCATCCCTATCCCAAATCTCTGTCCTTAATGAGTTACCCGGTCTTAGGTATCCTATTATAGAAATACGAAATAAGACGACAACATCATGCATATTTTACTATACTTTAATAGTTACTAATGATGTTTAAAGGAACTCCCTGGACTTTGGACTGAAGGAAGTGGAGTTTCCCAGAGAGCAAAAAGGGCATGAAGTTCTGTGTCTCATCTCCTGTCTTGCCTTACACATTTCCTCCATCTGTCTATTTCTATCCCTTATAATACACTGATAAACAGTACCAAAAGCTTGTGAGCATGAGTACTTACACTCCCAGGCCTGAGAGCACCAGATCCTGGGATACTTTTTCATTTGCTACCAATTAGCCATTGTCTTTCGTAGTTGTTGCTTGTTTGCTTATGTTTTTGTTCTTTCTTGACAGGGACTGGTTGTAGCCCAGGATGGCTTTGAAGCCTTGAACGCCTGATCCTTCTATCTATCTCCCAAGAGCTGGCATTGCAGCTATGCGCTATCATTCGTAGCTTAGTTTGCCATTTTCAACAAGGAAACCAATCAGATCTACCTGGCTTCTAGGACTTTGAAGTCTTTCTGCCACTTGCCAGGAAGATCTGGCCAAGGTCCTGTGCCCAACTCTAAACAGTTATAATTCTCCTGAATGTTCTTAGGACACTGTGGAGATGAATTCTTGGTCATGTTCCTTGTCATACCATAGTGCAGGATAAAAACATAGCCTACCAGGGGGAAAGATGTTTTCAAAACTAGTTTTACACAAAGAAAGCTGATAATGATGATATGATCCCAGTTGAAGGGCAGAAGGGTAGTTCAGCAAATCCTCTCCAAAAGGTGGCAGCAGGCACTGGTGTCTAGGAAGGTATACATTCAGTATATAATACTGCAGCAGTGATATCTATAGCCAGCTCCAGACTAAGTTCCTGGTGTGTGGGGGGGTGACTGCCAGAGAACAATACTGATAAGCAGATGTTTGAAGAAAATTTGATCTCTACATAACCTTTAACGTGGAAGCAGAGAAACTTGTGGGCCAGTTTTATCTTGAAGGCTTTTGTCTTGTTTAGCAGTGTATACTACCTTCCTGAGCATGGAAATTCTCCATGAGAAGATTCTGAAGTGTCTTCAAATACAGTCAAGAACAGAGGGAGAAGATGCAGTCTCCCCAACCCTCCTACCAGACCCCATTAATAGACTTTTGAGCTATTGAAATGGCCACAGAGAGGGGGCTGGTTGAACGGGCAGAGGGTGAAAGCAAGAGGAGAGGGAGATGAGTGGAATTGGGATGCATGATGTGAACTCCACCCAGAGTCAATAAAGTTTTTAAAAAGAAGAAAAAAGAAATTGCCACAGAGAAGACAGAGCCGTGAGCAGCAGAAGGTGAACTAAAGAATTAAAAATCTCACTTCCAGTTGGGGTCTTTGTCTCTCCACTGGCCAATGGCAAAGTGTCCCCACCCCCTTTCCAGAGCTCCAGTCCTTTGTATATGTTGCCACAGCCACAGTGCCATTTAGTCCCAGGATTACCTTTCCACAATTCTACATCTGGAGTGATTGCTCATCACTCAACATTCCCTTTGTGTCTCCAGGCTTAGCAGGACTCTGGAATCTTCTGATTTATTTCTAAGAAATTACAGTGATGCACTTCACCTTTAAAAAATTCAAAGCCATTTTAAAAACATGCAGTTGAATAGTCCAAGACAATGTTTATTTCACACCTGTCACCAGTTATTGGTTCTCTTCACTCACTGGGCCAGTTTTCTGCGTGGTTTAGACTTCACGTCACATGGTATCTTTTCTCTGGGTGAAGGATGTATTGTCTGTGATTTTGCTGAGGAATCTCCCAGTTCTCAATGAATTGCCAATTTTACCATAAAAGAAAATCTTATGATTTACTTCTACTAATTAGTTTCTCAAACTGAAAGCTCACTAAAAAATAATGTATACCGTTATCTTTTTATTAAACTTATTCCTAATGAAAGCAGTATTTAATGCAATTTCCAGTTACTTTCTTTAGAGATTTTTTTTGCTATTGTGAATTACCTTGAATTGTTGGGAAAATGTAGTATGTGTTGCTTGTTCGCTGGACAATGTACGTGAACCCAGTAAGTGGTGCTCAGTCATCGAAGATATGCATATCCCCACTCTGCCTGATATATAACAAGCAGGTGCATAAACATTTTAACTATAGTTGTGGTATACACATAATTTAAGAGAAAAATCTGGTAGGAATAACCTTGTATGTAGCCAACCCTTAACCATACAAACTACAATGCACACTGCATGTACACCACAATTAATGTACTGTACCTAAGGCTTGTTTGGTAAAGTTGTGGCTTCTGCATTAAACTTGCAAGTTCCAGTCAGTATTTCCAACTCTTCCTTTCTCTCTGTGTTCTTAGTATGGGACTTCTTATGCCCTTCATTCTTAGGGATTTGAAGGCACTGCATTTGGGAGAAAATTAAGAACTATCTTATGGAGAAGTAAGAAGTGTAACTTTCAGAGACAGTTTAAGTACAAATATTTGACCTTTCAGATTTGTTTGCTCGGCCTTTTAGGAATTCAATAAATCCCACAGATCTGTGCAATGATTTAATTGTGGAAAACTCATTTCTTACTCTATAGCCTACAAGTGTGTCTGTCTGACTTTTAAGGCCCTTCCAAAAACTTTGCTGAAATGGTAACACTTTATTTAAACTTTTTAAAGTTGAAAATAAAAAAATTCCATACAATATATTTTGATAACAGTCCCCCCTCCCTCAGCTCCTCCAACATCTTCCCACCTTCCCACCCATTTGATCTCACTCCTCCTTTCCGTCTCCCTTCAAAACAGAAACAGGCCTCTTTTTTCCTTTGATTTTCGAGACAGGGTTTCTCCGTGCAACAGTCCTGACTGTTCTGGAACTTAACTTTGTAGACCAGGCTGGCCTTGAACTCACATACATCCACCTGCCTCTGGTTCCCAAGTTCTGGGATTAAAGGCATGCTCCGCCACCACCCATCCAGAAACAGGCATCTTAAAACAACAAAAAGATAATAAGGGTTTGCAGTGTAGCCATGTCTAGAGAGGACTATAGACTTCGCACAATTGTAGGGAGTTCCGGAAGGGTGTGAACAAGGGTTTGAGACCGATGTCTGCCTGCTGAGGCTGGTGTAGGAGTTTTTTGATCCCGCTGTCTACTCTTGTCAGATAGTTTCAGTCTGACTCTCTCTAATCCGTTAGAAATGTTCAATAAGAAAAACAAAGGGGGGGGGGCTGGAGAGATGGCTCAGAGGTTAAGAGCACTGACTGCTCTTTCAGAGGTCCTGAGTTCAATTCCCAGCAACCACATGGTGGCGCGCAACCATCCGTTATAAGATCTGGTGCCCTCTTCTGGTGTGCAGATATACATGGAAGCAGAATGTTGTATACATAATAAATAAATAAAGTCTTAAAAAAAAAAGAAATGTTCAATAAGGGGTGGAGAGATGGCTCAGTGGTTGAGAGCACTGGCTCTTCTTCCAGAGGCCCTGGGTTCAATTCCCAGCACCCACATGGTAGCTCACAGCTGTCTGTAACTCCAATTCCAGGAGATCCGATACTTTTGTGCACATAAAATAAAGTTAAATAAATTATTTTTTTTAAAGAGAATTGTTCAATAAATTGGAATCACTAAAGAAAAAGTTCTCTTTTGTACTGGGGTGTCCCTATGTAAATAGCCCAATGGGCGGTTCCTCACCAAATCAGGCTAGGAGCAAAGTACTTTCAGCAAAGTACCCTGTACTATATGAAAACAGAAGTTTTCAATGGCACACAATAGAGAGAGAGAGGAGAGAGGAGAGAGGAACAAATACACAGATACAATGTGTATTATTAAAACCCTAGACACGCAAATAGAAACTCTGCGCCACTGCCATCATCACATCCGTCACCATTACGGCAGGAACGCGGCACGTGCCAGTTCCGCAGGACGAGTGACAGACGCCGGCAAGCTTCCGCCAACAGAGACTGCGAGAGCAGGTTGGGCGGGGCAACAACCCGGCCCCGGGAAAGAGAGCAGCGCGCGTGCTCACTGCACCACCTCTTCCGGAGCGGGCGGGCCGACTGGATGGTTCTCCCGGGTCCCGTGAAAAACCGTGAGAGCGCAAATCCCGTACCTAGCCCCTGCCTCCTTATAGGCTAAATCCTGCCCCGGGCCCGCCCTTTTAGCCACAGGCCCCGCCCCACAACCTACCTTTTCCGGCGCTGTAACGCAGCAGCGGTTGGCTGGTGGGGCGGACGACATGGCGGCGTCCTTGTTGGGCTCGCTGCTGCGGACTTTCCGGCAGGTCAGGCCCTTGCCTTTCTCGCCAGCCCACTTCTCACCCCTGAACCCCGTGTCCTGTGGGTTGCCCGGTACCCTGGGGACTGTCATGCACACGGAGGACCAATCCCAGGCCTCCTACCATCCGCTTTCCCCTTCCGGCTTGGTTCGGAGAGGCCTAACCGGCAAAGGAGGGTTTGGTGTTTAAGCGTGGAGCCCTGATTTGAAAGCTGAGAGGTTGATCCCGGCTTTCAGGAGCTGCGTGCGTGTAAATAGAACAGAAAAGGGACCGGAGGATTGAGGCCTCACGGGTGGTGACAGAATTTCGAACAGGGAGCAGGCCATTCCGCTAAAACTGGAAGGTTAATGAAAGATTTGAGGAGTGACAGTGTTACGATGCGCACAGAAACTGGGAAAAACAGCAAAGGAAATTGGAGAAGTGTTCGGGAGAGTTCTGCAAGGGGTGGTGGGGAGGGCGGTGTCAGCCAGAGACAGAGAGAGAGACCTTACTTAGTTCTTTTTCCTTTACCACGACAGAAGGAACATCATATTCGTAAGATATCGTTATCAGATATAAACAACAACGTCTGGGGGGGGGGACCCACTAAAGTGGGAAATGATGATCCAGAGAACAGGGAAGGATCGCCAGAGCTCTGCCTTTGCAAGCAGGAGGTGACATAGGGTCTCGTGTATGAAGTTTGATCTCAGGATCATGTACAGGTCACGTCTAGCACTTTTGTCCAATAGAAATGTAAAGCCAAACAAGGGTGATTGGTATTTTTTCTAGTATTTAAACTGAAGTAAGAAAGTAGGTACAAGTTAATTTTGATAGATATTTTTAGCCAGGTATATCCATATTTTAACAAGTCAAGATTATATATAGTGATTTGTGAGACATTTACATTCCTCTGTTGGAAGTAGGTTTTCAAAATCTTACTTGTGTTTTATACCTAAAACATACTGCTGTTGGGATGCTAAATTTTGCAAATGATATAGTGGAAAAACGCAATTGTGCCAAAAACAAAGTTGCTTGCTATTTGAAAATTTAAGTGACTTAGTATCAAGAATTATGTCCCCAGTTGTACTGCTCACAGCCATATCCATGTCTAGCGGCCACTGTAACAGAAAGTTGACATAACCCTGGAGGGGTTACAGACTGTAGTACAAAAGCTACATTTGAGTGAATAGGTATGGAAGTTTGGAAATTCTCCTCACATTGCTTCTGATTTAATAACTAAGGAACATTAAAGTCACCGGAACATTAGGGATTGGGAGCAGGGGACAGTGATTTAAGGAAGAGGAACTCCTGCAAATTGTCCTCTGATTTCCACTTGGGTTATAGTATGTACATGCACAAGCAAATAAATAAATGTAATAAATCAGTTTTTTAAAATACTAAGTCTTGGGCTGGTGAGATGGCTCAGTGGGTAAAATGCTTACCACCAAGCCTGTCTAGTTCAATGTGAGGACTCGTGGTAGAGGAGAGAGCTGACAGAAAGTTGTCCTCTGACCTCCACATGCATGGCCATTCACATACACACAGTACGGACTCACAGGTTGGCCTCTGACCTTCACAAACATGTCCATCCATACACAAGCACTTGTGTGCATGTATATGTGCCAAATAAATGTACTTTTTTTTTTTTATTGCCAAAAGTCCTAAGTAGAGACTGAAAGAAGTTTACAGGATTGGAAAAACACTTGCAGTGCCTGTGATCCTGTCTCTGTCTTTTAGGCAGTCCCTCCATCAACATCAAGTCAAGTTCGAGGTTACTATGTAGACTGGAAAATGTTGCGTGATGTGAAGAGACGAAAAATGGCTTATGAATATGCAGATGAGAGACTTCGGATCAATTCACTCAGAAAGAATACCATTTTGCCAAAAGACCTTCAGGTTAGCTGCTGAGTCCCTGTCTTTCCCAATATCATTTACTGATGTCATTTCAGATTCTTTTTGATGCTTTTTATTGCAACTTAGTATTAATGTAATTTTCTGGAGAATAAGATCAAATACTCAAGTTTACATAAATAGCCTTAAAACCAACTTTGGTAAGTTTAGGCTAAAGGACAACTGTTCACTCCTTCCTGGTTTTTCAGCCATTTCATTATACAATCCCTACATAGTACTACTGAGTGGTGACCACATAGAAAGTAAGAAGTATTTTGATGAAAGGTCTCCCCAGTTTCATACCAGTCTTGGAACCTTCAAGGCATTTGGAGGTATTGCTGATGCATGGGCTATGTACAAAACACATGACCTGTGGTCCTTACTCAAGACCTGCCGTCCTGAACTTTTGCCCTTTCCAGGTCCATGGTTAGGTAGTCTTCCATTTAGCCTTCCTTTCTTCTCATGTACTTCCAGTTAAATAAGAGGGTGTCAACCCTGTTTGGCTTCCTGTGGCATTTGGTTTTATACTTAGGTGATGGCATAATACATGTACTGAACTGAAGAGGCTTGTAGGAAATTAGAAAATCAAGGCTACTTACTTTACTGAAAGTTCACAGAAAGAAACAAAACAAACATTTATACAAATTGGCAGAATGATTTAGTCTGTTTATGTATTCTTCACCCCCCCACCCCCACCCCTTTGGTTTTTTGAGACAGGAGTTCTCTTTGTAGCTCTGGCTGTCCTGGAACTTGATCTGTAGACCAGGCTGGCCTCGAACTCAAGAGATCCACCTGCCTCTGCTTCCTGGTTCCACAGTCTATCATAGGGTCAGTGGTAGATGCCAATACCTCTGACAAATGTATTGGTATAAGTATATATATTAACATACTCTTTTATGTAAGAATAAACTTTTACTGACAACATAAGCCTAATATGCCATACTTTTTCTTCTCAATCACCAGTTTCATAGACAATACTTGTGCAAGATTCATGGATGTTGCAAATTTTTTTTTTGTGTAAATCTTGTCTGATCACCTCCTTTATTTCTGCAGTAGTCAGAATCTTTGTAAGACTTTCAGGCTCTTGTTGATCCAGCTTTTTACTAGTCTCAAGCCATGGTCTTTCTACTGTTTCATCTCAGGTTTCAAGCTTTCATACTTCAGAGAATTAATGTGTGTCTGTATGGGGCAATAAATGCATTCACATACTTTTTCTAAATGACCTAAACATGGATGTATGGAGCAGCACTCTTCACAGTAGCTCAAAACTGGAAGCTACTCAAGATTTCAACCAGCTATAGAATAGATCAAGGAATTCCAGCATACTCAACAAAATGAACACCAAAGAGACTGAGAATATTAATGACACTGGAACAATGTAGGTGGTCTCACAAGCATATTGTTGAATTAAAAAAAAAAAAAGCCAAACAAATGAATAGAAAGAAAAAAAGGTTATTTGAGCATATTAGATACAATTTACAACAAGGAAATGTGTACTTACAATGTTAGTGAACATGTTAGCTGTTAGCCAGTACCCCTAAAAGAAGACACAGATAAAACCTTGGGTGCTGTAATGTTATTTTATAATTCAGTGCTGGCTACAAAGTATATATTGCTTATAAAAATGTACTTTGTAATTATGGTTTGTGGATTTTTCTCATTGTAATCTTTAAAGTCATCTTGGAAAAACAACATCCATTTCTGGTTTGTTTCCACTTTAAGATTAAGTCTTACTACCACATCCAGTGTTTGGCTAAGATTCTAGTCCATCTTTCCTTTGCTTTAGGACTGAGTTGTGATCTGTGTTATAATCTTCCCCTAGGACATGGCTAGTGAAGAAATTGCTGCTCTTCCACGGGATAGCTGTCCTGTGAGAATCAGAAACCGATGTGTTATGACATCCCGTCCACGTGCTGTAAAGCGCCGTTGGAGGCTTAGTCGCATTGTCTTCCGCCACTTAGCTGACCATGGACTACTTTCTGGAGTTCAGCGAGCAATATGGTAAATCAGTTTCAGAACCTACTCAGCTGCCCGGGAAGTCAATTCTGGCAAAAGAGACTTTACTAATAAAGACCAGACCCTAGTTTTTTATAGCGTGTCGTATGTTTAGTCTACCTGATACTGTCTACAGTTAAATTGTTTTTAGGTTTTTAAATGAAGAAATGTGATTTTCTCTTTAACTTTACAATAGGCACATTACTCCCATACAAGGTATAAGAGAGGAATAAAAATATTTTCTGTGGAATAATGGTGTTTTCCTTCAAGTTTGATGTTTAGTAACAAAATAACTTGTTTTTAAATAGTAATTTCACGAAACAGTTATAGATGTCCATCTAATTGACAAGTCGCCTTTCTATGGCATTGTACCCCTCAGCTAGCTTCCCTGGCCTGCAGTTACTATCACCTTTGGAATAGCAATAGATGGAGTGTTAAAGAGGGTATTTTAGATTATATTTAGTGTCAACTTTGTGTGACACTAAATAAATGAATAAATGAACTGCTAAATAGCTTTTTTGTTTCATCTTTTTAGTGTTTATTTGTATAGGTGTTTTGTCTACATGTAAATCTGTGCTGTGTGTGCCTAGTACTCAGAGGCCAGATGAGGGTGTTGTAGCTGCCATGTATGTGCTGGGAATTGAACTCCGGTCCTCTGGAAGAGTAGCCAGTGTTGTTAACCACTGAGCCATCTCTCTAGCCCCTGGTTGTCCAACTTTTAATGCTTATATTAATGCTTAATCAGTGAGTTCAGATAGGGCTAGCTTGACCTTTCTATTTAAAGCTCACTTGTTGCTAGCAGCTTACACATTTCAACCATTACTAAAGTACTTTATTTCTTAATGTGTAATAAATTTTCAGAGGAAACAAGTTGGTACACATACCAATAAATATGGAAACAAATTCATTCTTCATTTTGTGGACATAGAAATTTGTATATATTGGTGCTTCAGTTCACTCTGCTCACTCTTCTCATGCTCATTGACATAGATATCCTGCAAATAAGGTTATTTATCATGTCCTTGCTTACTGGCATAAAAGCCTATTTAGCTTGTATTACCTTCCTGATTCCAACATTTGTCTTTAGGGAATCTCTGGTTCATTTAGTAGGAAGTGGTGTTTAGAGAAAATGCACTAGAGCTCCTAAGTCAAGATTTTTAATTATGTTTATATGTGGGGGTAATGGTGGTAAGTGCCTGGGGAGGCCAGAGGTGTTAGATACCATTGGAGCTGGGGTTAAAAGTCTTGTTGTAAGCCACCTGGTGTTGGAAACGGAACTGAGGTTATCTGTGAGAGCTCAGGCTGAGTTCTCTCCAACCCCAGAAATGTGTGGAGGCTGGAGGGATGGCTCAGCAGAGAATGCTTACTGCTCTTCCAGGGGACCAGAGTGCAGTTCCAAGTTAACAAGACTCTAGACAAATGGTGGTGATGCACATCTTTAGTCCCAGCACTGGAGAGGGAGAGGCAGGCAGATCTATGTGAATGCAAGGTCAACCTGGTCTACATTGGACTGCTCATAACCACTTGCAATTTAGGTCCCTGGGGAATCCAACACCTCTGGCAGCTTTGAACAACCACAGTGACATGTAAATACCCACACACGTACACATAATTCAAAAATAATAAAAATAACCTTTAAAAATATCAACTCTTAATATTACCATTTTTACTTTTACAATATATGAAAATTCTAGTATATTACTAGTACCAGTAATTGTGGCACAAATTATTTAGAATCCATCTCATTAGTGGTGGACAAATGACAATACTCTAAAGATACTTGAGGACAACTTGTACTAAACTCAGTGTGCATACTATTATTTAAATAGTTGTCTCTCCAGAATGGATATGAAACTTAATGCCCAGTCCATGGTATTAAGAGGTGGGGCCTTTAAGAAGTAAGGCCATAATTTCACCTTTTGGTTGTGTGTTTTGCCACATATTTTCCTTTTATACTTTAAATCATGATTTTCCCCTCAATCTTCAGTTTTAATGAATTTCATCTCTTCTGGTACTTGTATACCTTCTGCTTTACAATTGTATCTTTGATGCTATAAATGTGGAGAATATGGCTGTTTAAGTTATATTGCTATCAAACTCATCTTCCCCTACCAAACACAACTCTTACTACTCTAAATCTTCTAATATGCAATCTAATTTGTTTCACCAGTCTGTTTATTTTTTGTTTCAGTACCACAGTTCTAGAGGCATTATAGTTCCAATCACACTTTTCTGTATGTTAAGTTCTGACTTTTACCTAATTAACTATAGTTGGATTGGTTCTACTAGCTTTTTCTTCTATTATCTAATTGCTTTCTTCTTTTAGTGGTGAGCTTAGCCTTTAACAGCTGAGCCATCAATCCAGCCCTTCTTTTCTGAATGTTACTACATTCAGAACTGATGTGTAGCTTTGGAGCCTATCCTGGCACTTGCTCTGGAGACCAGGCTGGCCTCGAACTCACACACAGAGATCTGCCTGCCTCTGCCTCCCGAATGCTGGGATTAAAGGCGTGCGCCACCAACGCTGGCTGACAGCCTAACTTTTTAAATACTCTACAAAACAGATAGCAAAACTGGTCTTTTATGTAAAACTTCAACTTTATTGAACAAAGGAATAGATGAATTTTCAAACTTTTGCATCGTGGTTATAGTTTTATAAGCCAACTGATCCATGGCAGTACTTACCAATATAAGATGTTGGTCTATTTTTACCATTTGTATTTTGCTTAAATTTTATGTTCATAAATATACTTAAATCAACAGTACATGGTAGCACATGGCACACACATTGCTTAAGCTGGTAATAACGGGTAACGGGTCTATAGTAACTTCAAGTTTGTGTACAAATTTGAATCTTATGCAAAATTTTGGTTTTATTTTTACATTAGTGGGAGATGTCAGTTACAGATAGGCAAATACTTTGTTTTTTACCTCTCAGCCAGAACCAAAGGAACACTTAAGATTTCCTTTTTAACATTTCAGTAAGAATGCCATATGACCTTTTCTTAAAGAAAATGACTGGGATGCTAATGAAGGAGAAAGTTTAATAAGCATATTTATTTAAATCAAATCCTCCAGTAAGAAATGGAGAATTTGCTGTCTTTACTTAGAAGGCTGTGTAAATAGTTATCTTTTAAATTTTATGTGCAGTTCAACAACATTCCCTTACTGGAAACATGAGCATTCCACATCACAGTTCCCAAAGGACTTAAAAGTCTCAAAATTCCGTGTCTTCTCTGGCTTGCTTCTCTCTGGATTCCACCCATGCCTTATTAATGGTTCGTTTCATGTCATCATCTCCATCTTCATAAATTTTCTTTAGAACGTTCATTAATCCCTCACTAGGATCTGTTTCAGTGTCATAGGAAGGCTTTCTGTGAAAAAGAAAACAGTCTACAATGAAAAATTGAAGCATGGAAAGACATTCTTAGGTTGTAACTAGTAGGAATAAGAAGAGTACAGAGAAGGGTGCTAGAACATACAAAATAAGCAAAATAATATGCCTAGCTTCATCCTGGTAAAACTGCATACCCACATGTGCCTGGCACACAAGGAGAGAGCACCAAATGGCAAGGACTGATCACGAGACAGTGAGATTTTAAGAGAAGATATGCAAATGTGAATAATAACTCTCTCAACTTACTGATCTTCACATCACTACAAGCAGGTATTATGGTATGGAAATATAATGAAACTAATACATTTTAACTAGAAAAACCACTAAACTTGAGATCTATGGATCTGGGTCTAGTGCTGAGGTTATACTCTTTAATGTGGTAAGCAATTCTAGTTTTCAATGAATGTCCAAACAGCCAATCAGCTTTACTTTTAATTTTTGAAATAGGACTCATTAGGCTCACGTTTAAATCAACTCCCCAAATAGTCAAAATACTCCTAACTCTAGCCTACCACTTCCCAAATGCATTCTGGCTATCAGATGAGGAATGACAAAAATGAGTAACTGACTCAGTACAAGGCACTACCAACTATAGGAGCAAGCTTAAAACTGATCCACAGTGGAAGTCATCTATCTGGTAAGATCTTTAAGTCATGAAGGATAAAAGTAAAACTGGATGTGGTAGTAAATGCATACACTCTCATTACTTGGGAGACAAAAGAATACAGGACTTAAAAAGAACAGTATCCTTGTCACATAAAATCAATGATAGAGAAACCAACTATACACCTCAGAAGCATGTAAGGAATCAAACGCTTTGGGTAGCTGAACTCTTCTTGAATTCCTAGAGCAGAATTATTTGAGATCAGGCCACAGTATCTAGAGACACACCAAGATGCCCAGGGATGAAATAATGCTAAAGAACAAGCTATACAACAATTGTCTTAAACTGGCCCTTGCCATCCTCAAATAGGCTCTGACAGGCTGGGTGTAGTTGCACACACCTTTAATCCCAGAACTCAGGAGGCAGAGGCAGGGGGATCTGTTAGTTCAAGGCCAGCCTAGCAAGTTCAAAGACAGCCAAACTACATACCAGAGAGACCATATCTCAAAAAACAAAGCTTCTGATAGTTGAAAGCAGATATAAGACATCAGGAGATAAACACTTTGCTTGTACAACTATTAGCCATGAAGTGAAACCATAACCCCAGATAAAAGTAGTAAAATTATTAAACTTACTCTTTCTCTTTGCATTCTTTTTCCACCTGAGTTAAGTAGTCCCATCGTGTGTTTTCTGCTTTCTTTCTACATAAGATGATAACTGTATCAGTCTTGACCTGGAAGAAAAGGAGAGGAGTAGGAGCTTGTAACATAGAAATAAGCATGAGTATTTTAAGAAATGCTGTTACCAATCAAGTGCCTAGTATGTTAATACTCATTCTTGATGCTAGTAATACTTTTATACAAACAAGTGGAATACCTTTGATGCTAATGCCATCAAGATCTGAACATAGGGTTGGGGACATGGTTCAGCTGGTAGAGGCTTGCTCAGAATTCATGAGGCCCTGGTCTGATTCCTATTATCACATAAAACAAGGCATTGTGGCACACACCTGTAACCTCAGAACTTTGTAGAGGCAGGATTACCAAGAGTTCAAAGTCACTTTTAGCTTCTTAGTGGAATGGAGTACTGTCTGGGCTACCAGAGACCTATTTGAAGAGACCCTTGGGCTGAACCTACCTTGGTTGTAGGTAAACTCATGTGCATGTGTTCTGGTTGATTTTGTGTTAACTGACACAAGCTAGAGTATCTAGAAAAAGGACCCTAAAGTGAGAAAGTACCTCCATCAGATTGCCTGCTGGCAAGTCTGTAGGGCATTTTCTTGATTGATTGGCAGGGACTATATAATCCCTGGGCAGGTAGTCTTGGGTTGCCTAAGAATAAAGCTGAGCAAGCCCCAAAGAACAAGCCGGTATTCTTACTTCATGGTCTTTCCTTCATGGCCTCTGCTTTGTTCCTGCCTTGAGTTCCCTTCATGACTGACTATGATCTGGACATGTTACTTTTGGCCTTGGTATTTTATCACAACAACTTAAATAGGACAGCATTTCAATGCAAACACAAGGACCTGATCAGGTATCTACAACCCAAGTAAAAAAAAAAAAAGCCAGGCATGGTCATACACAACTGTAGTCCCAGCACTCCTATGGCAAGATGGGAGACAGGAAATCCAAGAAGCTTGTAGGCCAGGTAGCCTGGTACATATAGTGGTGAACCAATAAGACTCTGTCCCTAACAGGGTAGAAGGTGAGGACTGACATGAGACTGTCTTCTGATCTCCACATATGCATCATGGTGTATGTACATACACAAAGACTTAAAAGAGAATATTAATGGGAAGTGTGGAAAAAACTTTAGAAGGACTTCACTGGGACAAAATGTGAACCAAGTGAAACCTAAGACCTGAAAGGAGAACACCACAGACAGCTAGCATAGCAAAAAGAATTATCTTGTCGGGTGGTGGTGGTGCACACCTTTAATCCCAACACTTGGGAGGCAAAGACAGGTGAATCTCTGATTCTGAGGCCAGCCTGGTCTACTGAGTGAATTCCAGGACAGGCGCCAAAGCTACAGAGAAACCCTGTCTCGAAAACCAAAACAAACAAAAACAAAACAAAAATGAATAGCTCCTAGGTGAAACAGTTATAGTGTATTGAAAGGACTAAATCTCAGTGATTTAAGGAAAACTAGAGGGGTCTGAAAGGAGAGCAAGGAAGGTAAACAACTTTTTAACTCAACAATGTGTAACTCCTAGATGCTTTGATTATTCCTCTGACTATGAGACATAACAAATAGGCTACTGCAGGGAGAACTGGATACTTAACACATGGCATTTATTACTACTTTTAAGCAAATACATAACATGGAAGAATTACATGTCTATACATTTGATATATTAAACATCACTTTTTAAACTGAAAAAAGGGTTGTGTAAGTTTGTAAAAAGCATAAGCAACTGATTTTTTAATGAAAACTTCCTTATTTTTTACAACTTCAGCAATTAAGTACTTAAGAGATCCTTATATGCATCAGAAATTTACATATAACACAGCTAATAGTATACTATTTATGTTAGTGCTTCCTATTTATTTACCAGTATATCATTCCTACTTTATGAAATTACCACTGTACAAAGAACCACCAGGGGTCACAACTACTAAGGGATAAAGCTGGCATTAAAACTCTTACTCACTGAAAACATTTCTCCTTACTTTTAATATATTCTACAATGAATTGGCAAACTTCCTTCAAAGGGCCAAACAGTAAATTATTTATTTTTCATTTCATGGGCTAAATGATCTATTTTGCCACCGTAGGAGAAGCAGACACCAAAAGAACGTAAGAATGGTTATTCCAGTAATGAACTACTTACAGATCAGCCTGTGGACTGTACTGTACTGGAGCTAGATACAGCTGAAAACTTATAGTTCATCTCTGCCCTAAATCAGCCAGATTCAATTTAATAAAGTTTTACAATATTTTCACGCGTGTGCGCGCACACACACACACACACACACACACACACACACACACACACACACACACACGCGCGCGCGCGCACACACACACTCTCTCTCTCTCTCACAATACTCACTTTTTTTGAACTGCTTTCCACAGAGATGGGTTTCAAAAGATTGTTCACAATCATGGAGTAATTCTTGCCATTGAGATTTTTTACCAAAAGATCAAATGACCTACAAACACAACAGGGAATGCATTATCTTTCTGGTTCTATGACAGTCACTCTATGGTTCTTGAGACAAGTCAACAGCTTTGACTTAGGGCAGTAGTTCTCAACCTTCTCCCTTAATACAATTCCTCATGTTGTGGTGACCCCCAACCATAAAAGTATTTTCATTGCTACTTCATTACTGTACTTGTGCTACTGTTAAGAATCGCAATGAAAAGCTGGGCATTGGTGGTGCACACCTTTAATCGTAGCACTCGGAGGCAGAGGCAGGAGGATCTCTGTGAGTTCGAGGCCAGCCTGGTCTACAGAGTGAATTCCAGGACAGCCTTCAAAGCTACAGAGCAACCCTGTCTCGAACCCCCCCCAAAAAAAGAATTACAATGAAAATATATGCTATGTGGGATATCTGATATACAACCCCTGTGAAAGGGTCACTTGACCTTCCCAAGGGTTTTCGACCCATATTGAGAACAACTGGGTTAGTATGTAGACTTGGTTGTTCAGCAGAATTTTGGAAGCCATACAGAAGACAAGATTCCTATGATAAAAATAAGGCAATGATAGCTGTACTTCCAGTAACAAGAACGCACCTCTCAGTGAAGTGTACCTGCACATTTTCAGTGGGAACCTGATGAACTCCAGTTAAGGTAATGTAGATTTTCACAAACTTATCTGATTGATCCCATCCTAGCAAAACAAAAAAGATGAACAGACACATCTGAAACTATCCATAGAACATGGCTTAATATAAAACTCAGCAGTTAAAAGCACTGGCTGTTCTCCCCAAAGAACCAGAGTTCAAGGCCCAGCACCGACATGGCAGTTCATAGCATCTGCAAGTCTAGTCCTAGGGTATCAGAAACCCTCTTTTAGACTCTGAGGCATGCAGGTGACGCACAGACATACATGCAAACAAACACCCATACCCGTAAATAAAATTCAGAAAATAAAACTCGGTAACAGTTTTACTGTTACTCCAGAAACAGACACACACACACAAATAAATTAAAAATTCTCAAGATATGGGACAGAGAGATGGCAACTATAACTCCAGTTCCAGGGGATCTGACACCCTCACACAGACATACATGCAAGCAAAACGCTAATGCACATAAAAAATAAAAAGGAATCATTAAAAATTCTCAATATGGAGAAGCTATGTCTCAAAACCGAACTTCTGAAAACAGTACTATTCCTGAGAATAAGCATCCAACAAGTGGGAGAATGTACAGTAAGATTCAGTTTCTAAATGCAAAGCTAGGGTCATTAAATGCATTTCATCTTTCTTATGAATACCAGCAAGACCTCTACCAGTTTCTCTCCAGCTAAAATTTTTCATTTTTATTTTGAGAAAGATCTAAACTGCCAAAGTTGGCATCAAACTTGCAATCTTCCTACCATAGCCTTCCTACCATAACTATGATTAAATTCTGTGTCACTATGCCCAAATACGAGAAGACTGGCTTCTTGTTTTTTTAAAAAAATTTTGCCCTTCGGGGCTGGAGAGATCGCTCAGAGGTTAAGAGCAGTGGCTGCTTTTCTAGAGGTTCTGAGTTCAATTCTCAGCAACCACATGGTGGCTCACAACCATCTGTAATTAGATATGGCACCCTTTTCTGGCCTGCATGCATACAGGCAGGCAGGACATTGTATACATAATAAACAAATCTTAAAAAAGGAAAAAAGAAAAAAATTTGCCCTCCATCTAAAGCTTGATAGATCTTGCCATGGGGGGTACACATTTATAACCCCAGTACTTGTGAGATGGAAACAGGAGAATCAGGAGTTCAAAGTCATCATCAATTCAACAGTTTAACATCAATACTGTTTAATTCAGTAACTATTTCTACTTCTCAAAGCAGTCTAAAAAAAAAAAAAAAATGTAACCACAGCCCTTTCAAGACATAGCTACTTGGGAGGCACAAATGGGAGGATCTCTTGAAACAGTCTAGACAACATACCACGATGCCTGGCCTCCAAATAAAACAGAATGAGCCTGGTGGCTCACATCTGTGACCCTAGCACTCAGGAGGGAAGGCAGAAGGATCTCCACAGTTCAAGGCCAGCATGGACTACAAGCAACTATCTCACAAACACAAAACAAGCAAAACTCAAACAAGTATAAATAGATAAAAGATCCTAATTTTTCACCGTAAATCTGTTAATTTGGCCTCCCAGTAAGTACACTATCTAATGCCACTTTGGTAATCTAACCCACGCCAAATGTCAACATTAAAAATAAAGAGCACAAACTTCACACAAAAATCTATGAATACATTATGAAGTAGTTCTTTCTGCTTGGCAGAATACTAGATATAGTGGAACGGGGCATACCATAATTACTGATTTTCACAGTGTATCCTGTCGTAAGAGGAGCAACCACAGCAGCTGGCTTTTCATTGTCAAGTTCTGATTTCTTCTGTGATTTCTGCTGCATCTTGTTCTTTATTTCTATCTCAATCTTGGATTTTTCACTTGTAAGAGTATCACGAACTCTTTTCCTAGTGGACTTTTCCAGCAACACTTTGACCTCTTCTAGGTCCTTCTGCAACTGTGTTAAGATAGAAGTAGGTTAGGATAAATAAGGCCTACCATCCAATTCAACTTACTGAAATAAAATGAAAAGTTAAGTTCATTTTAATTTTTAGGTTTCAAACATAATTATTTCTTCTTGTTCCCTGAATTGTAAACAACCCACATTTCCTTCTTATTAAAGGAAAACAATCTTAAATCAATAATTGTCTTTATTTTCCAGTTTGGTAGGCTGTTACCTGTCTGTGTTTTAGAAAAGTAGGGGGAAAATTTTTTATAGATGTCCTTGTAACACCTAGCTAGACATCAAATATTAGAAAACTTTAATTATAGTCAAAGAGATGAGAATCCATCTGACTGGGAAGGGCGAAGGCAACTTTACTGAGGTAACAAAGGCTGCACTTTCAGTGATCAATTTTCCTATCTCAGAATTTGAATTTTTTAAATTAAAGATAAAAAATAAAATAGCAAGATGGCTCAGTGGGTGAAGGTGCTCCCTGCCAAGCCTGATGCAGAGTTCAATTCCCAGGATCCAGGTGGAAGGAGAATCAATACCATCAAGACCTTATCTCCACATATGTCGTAGTAAATAAATGTAAAAATATTCTGCTCCTAAGAAAAAGTCTTGTTCAGCAGTTGGGTTGATCTTTTGGTTAGAATCTGAGACCAAGAAAGGAAACTTTGGATATCTAATCCCTTATGACTCTTGGAAATTGGTCTTTACAAGTCTGTTTTCTTGTCATGCCAATACAACAGGTAAGTCTTCTAGTTTCTAGACAGACATTTATGATGTTGTGGAACTTCATTAAAGACAATCAATGGGCAGGGTCTGGAGAGATAGCTCAGTGGCTAAGAGCCCATGCTGTTCTTCCAAAAACTAGCTGTTCAGTTCCCAGCACTCACACCAGAAGCTCACAAATTTTTGTAATTCCACCTCCGGGTGTCTGATGCCCACCACGGGCACCTACATACATGTGCTATTACGTATACAGGCAGATAGACAAAAATATTTCTCCAATCATGCTCTGATGTTAATTGTGAGTAAATGCTTTCTGCCTTGAATGGCCAAGATCAAAAACACCAATGACAGCTTATGCTGGTGGGAGTGCAAACTTATACAGCAGCTGTGGAAATCAGTATGGCAATTTCTCAGAAACTCAGGGATCAACCTACCTCAAGACCCTGCAATACTACTTTTGGGCATATACCCAAAGGAGGCACATTCGCACCACAAGGACATTTGTTCAACTATGTTCATAACAACATTATTTGTAATAGCCTGATCTTGGAAACAGCCTAGATGCACCTCTACTGAAGAATGGATAAAGAAAATGTGGTAATTTACACAATGGAGTTCTACTTAGAAACAATGACATCCTAAAATTCACAGACAAATGGACAGAACTAGAAAAAAACATCCTGAGTGAGTAACCAGAAAGACTCACTCATAAGTGGATACCAAACATAAAGCAAAAGACACCCAGCCTACAAAACATACCCCAGAGAAGCTCAAACCCTCTTCAAAAACAGATGGAAACAGATGAAGAAATCCAAAACTAACCAATAGGCCAAGCTCCTGGAGTACAATCAAAGTGAGAGAGGAGCGATGTATGAACAAAGGAGTCAAGACCATGATAGGGAAACCCACAGAATCAGCTGACCCAAGCTAGTGAGAGAGCACTGACTTGGGTCTGACAAATGGAGAACCTAAGACCGAACTAGCCTGACTCTCTTAATATAGGTGACAATGGTGTGACTGGGACAATATATGAGGCCACTGGCAGTGGGTCCAAGATCTAACACTAATGTACAAACTATCTTAGTGGAGACCATTCTATATGGAGAGATACCTTGCCCAGCCTAGACACAGGGATGTGGGGGTGGAGAGGTACCTTGGGCCCACCTCAACAAGATGACTTCCCCTCTCTGTGTATCAAATGGGAGGAAGGGGGTGGGGGAGGGACGGGAGGAGAGGAGGGAGGGGGAACCAGGATTGGAATGTTAAAATAAATTAATAAAAAAAGTGTAAAAAAAATTTTTTTTGCCTTCATACTAGGTAACCTGATCACAAAAACAGCAATCTTACTTTACACCTTCATACTAAATAAAAGGCTTAATGTTAAGTCTTTAAATGACCCTTTTACAACTGAAGAGTCCATAACAGAAAACCACAATCAAAAACTAGGAGTCCAGTCTCAATGGATATATCTACAACATAACTCCCTAACCTAAGGCATTATGTAAGGCTCAGGGTTAAATGTGGAAGAGGTGAGGGCTAGAATAGAAAGAGGATCAGAGATTACTGTGAGACTGTCTCCTAGAAATATCAGAAGCCACCCCTCACCACCTGCCCCAAAATCTCATCAGTGCAACTGCCTAACTGTGAGCAAGGAAAACAGGCAAGCTAAAGTGAACAAGGTAAGCCCGTGATATCTCAACCCTGCCCAAAGAACTACAGGCAAACGAAAAAGGCTAACAGCATGAGAAAGTCTTCCCCAGGGAAGAAGACAGACCTGAGCAGATTTGTAACAACTAATGAAAAGAGAGACCATGAAACTCAAGGGGAGCAAATGGGAGGCTTGGAGGGGGGGAATAAAATAATTTTTAAAAATCTTTTAAATGCCAGCTATCAGGTAGCATTTGAAGTAAAAAGGAGTTAGCCTTTGTTTTATAATCGCTATTACTACATGGCCTTTATGATCTCATTTGTTGTATTTACTTACAACAGTTTATAAAAAACACAACAGGGATGCTCCTGTCCACAATCAAGAAATACTGATTCTAAAATCCAAAACTGCACACTCATCTTTTGAACATAGAATCAAGGTGTTTCATTCCAAATCCTTCAGTGGCTTCAAAATTCATGTGGATTCTAGTATCAATATAATAAAAATATTAAAAGTAAAGCAAGTACTTATTCCTCCAATAGGAATTTACTTAACAAAGAGAAAGGAAACCTATCAAATCTAAGTTAGAGGTTTTGCTTTTGCCTGGAAAAGGAACCCTTTTTCTAGCTGACTCATGGCAGAATTCCCAGGCCCTCTTTATGGCCAATTTTAGCTCTAAAGTACTCTGCACTCTTTAGTAAGGTGTCAACAGAAGAGTCATTGCTTGGCTTTTGTATTTGCAGCCCTGAAACCAACATAGTGCATCCAAACTTTAAGGTGACCAAGAACAGATAAAGCAGTTTCTATCTATTTTATCTCATAATTTTTCTTGCCTTCTTGGCATGCATTTGTTTCCTGTATGTAAACATGTATGTTCCTTTGAATCTATCTCCTCGTTGTGCACTAGGGGCCTCAAAACCAATGTGTCTGGCCTGGCCTGGTAGCATATGCCTGTAGTCCTACCACTCTGGAGGCAGAGGCAGGTGGATCTCTATGAGTCTGACTACTACAGAAAGTTCCAAGCCAGGACTATTTAGTGAAACCTATCCCTGCAAACAAAAATTGCTCAAAATAGGGAAAGAACCCACGTCGTCGTCGTCGTCGACACCCCCCCCAAAGACATGGGATTGTGTACCAGGTACACATACACAAACAGATGTATCACATCCAGAGAAACACACAACAAATCCATAAAGTGGTACCACACACTCACTTAGATGGTATCATGCGAACAACAAACACCCAAGAAAACAACAAAATGTTATAGTATATGAAGAAATACTATCTTTTATGCAATTCTTGTGACAATGGTAGTTTCCCAGGACGTGCCTTATTATCTAGCAACTACATGGACTAATAACATGCCCCCAAAACAACAAAACTTGTTTACAAAGATTCAAAATCATCAAAATGGAGAAACGACCATATGCCAACAGATGAATGTGCATTCTGTATGTACAATGGAGTTTTATTCAGCCATTAAAAAGGAATGGTGTATTGATATACCACGGGTGAAATAGAAACATGGAGGGTACCAGCCCAGCTGTTGCCTTATCAGAGCCAATACTCAATGGATTTCTTTTTGAGGAAATGAAAATATTCTGCAACTAAATAACAATGATGGAAGAAGGTGAATTTCACAAAAGAAAAATGTGCCCCTAAATGCATACCCCCCAATTATAAAGTTAAAGTTCCTTCCTTCGGAGAATGTTTACTACTGAACTACATGTGTGCACAACTGTTAAGTAGCCCCAGACTCTCCATGTGAGCACATGTGCTCAAGGCTACTTACTTGTGGCAAGATTAATACTTTACCATAACTTAATAATCTTTCTGCCTTTAAAAGCGGATGTCTTGCTTTTTAAAGTGAGGGGAAATTTTTCGAAAAGGAAATTTTAACAGATAGCCCACGCGTATATCAATCACATAAAGTCTACATAGGCCATAAGTCGATCGATTACCATTTCCTATTTTGTGGCCGAGTTTTAGAGCTTGAGGTTCCAAAAACGTCAAGTCACCCACGTTCATAATTTACAGACCTATAAAGAGACGCCATGCAATCCCCTATCATTACCTACAACTAAATTTCCAATTATTTCTTAATGCACTTATTACATAAAGATTGGGGATGTAACGCAACGGTGGAGCGCTTGCCTAGCATGGGCAAGGCCTGCAGGTCCGCCGCTGGCGCCGCTAAAGGACCAAAGTGAGTCGTAAGTGCAGCCCTGGGCGTTCAGAAATAACACACAGGACGTAGAACCACCCCACGGAAAGAGTGCGGTGCCCAAGAAACTATCTTGGCTAGCCGTGTAGGCACAGGAATGCCTTCCAATTGCCCTCCACCTGGAGCTACCAGCTTTTGCAATGGGCTTTAACGGAGGTCCCGGTCCCCGGGAGGCCCTCT